AAAATATAAAAACAAAACCAACATACTGGGGGAATGGCTTAAGTAACACGGGCATAAGTGGGCTCTCTTGTAATCGTGGGGAAGTCGTGGAATGTTTCTTGAAGCCTATTTGTCCGTGAGTAAAGAATCTATCATTCCCGGTAACTATTTACACCTTAAGAAGGGGCTGTATAGTTGCAAGGTTCATCACGTAAACGTTCTTTCCGCAGACCAAACCCTGACTAATGCGCTGTGCCAACCCGTTAACCCTTTAGCGCTGTACAGGCTAACCCTTCAGTCTTTTATCCCTACAAGATCATTTAATTGGTAGCATATTTGTTAAGGAGAGAATGAAAACCTTGTCTTAAACATCGATCGGCTCCCGCAAGCCAAATAGCTTCCAAAATGCCAAACAGTGGATGCTAGCAGAATGCATGGCGCATCCCGACTGAACAACGCCAGTGCCATTCGCCCACTGTTTGGCATTTGCTCTGTTCCCAACCCCTAACCCATATATTCATCACAATGTTCGGTGAGAAGCTTTAAGCCGTTCCCCTCCATAACCTTTACATTTATTGCCCTATTCGTACCCTATTTGCTGCTGCTAGACGCAGTGCCGCCTTGCTGGAAAGCCTTCCTGTTTGATCGTGAACTCTGCTTCCTAGTAGGAGTGCCACGTAGTTCCGCGGATATAATATATCAGATGCGGAAGGAGGGATATCTGCAGTCACAGTCTGGCTTCATCTGGCCGAAAGAACTCTCTCCTGGATAACTGCTGTTTTACGCCGCAGTTCGCGTTGCGAAAGTTATCACAAGAATGCTGAGTTGTGGGCAAAACTTTCGCCCCAGCCGGGATTCGTACCCGGATCTCTTGCTTTCCGGGCAATTGTGCTACCAGTTACACCACCGGGGCACCATTTCACCCCAACTCAGCTTCGATGGTGAAGTTACCATAGCTTATCAGCATTCACACGTATAACGTGATGAACCGGTAGGCCATACGAATTTCTGCATCACCGCTACTTATTGAGAATGTACTTCTTTAGCTTCTGCAACTTCGAAAAACACTCATGAGCCACCCATCGCAACGGCTTTCGTCGATTTCATCTCTGCATTTCCAGGACGCATGGCAAGACAGTGGTCAGGTTAATTGTTCTTAAAAGTAGCTGTAGGACAGCTAAGGAACTGACAATGTACCGGACGCAAAATTCGCGTAGCTTAAAAGTTCGGGACGTATTTTTGTGAACGATGAACTCGTGGACACTAGATAAAGGAACAGGTGACATTGTTTCAGGAATTGGAAACTCTTTTACGTTCCCGTTTAAGGTGCTGCGCTGAGTGGGCTACGCCGAAGCTGAGCGGAGGGGGGGGGGGGCTAGGAATGCCAGAGCTAAATCAATGAGTTACCATTTCTAAAAATTCCCGAACAAATGCTCAAAACAATCTCGGATCCCTTGAAAAATATCCTTAATCTTTTCCGAAAGTCCGTTAGCATCCAGGTCAACATACCAGTCCTATCTAGTCGGAAAAAATTTTTTAAGGAAGATACCTTACCCGGGTAATCACGACCTGTTCAGGGTCAATCCTATACATATTGCGACAGGTACTAGCGGAGGGGTCGTATTTTGTTGAGATTGTAAGGTGGGGGGTCGTTTGCTTAATGTACGTTAGAAATTCAGTAAGTTTTAGAATATGGAGTGAGTTTAAGGGCGTGTAGTGGTGAAGGAGCGAGAAAAAAGTTGTGCCGTTCCAGTGTGACTATACGTATCAACTGTCTCAGAATTGAATTGATTAGTAAGGGGGTGCGGTCACGAAAAAATTTCGTAAAAGTTGTTACCGTAGGACCGACCCTGAACCAGGGTCAACCCTATCGTTGTTACTCTTCGGAAATTTTTTACGACCCCCCCCCCCTTCATGGGTGATTTGATACGACCCCCCCCTTTGTATGTAACACTTGTGTAGAGACAGATTAGCGTCAATATTTATTGCTACTTGAGTCATCAGAGATTAAACTAGCAAAATCCGCGACATAAATCCGATACGCGCGATTTGTACAGATTTGCAAGAGAATTTTTACACTCCTCTTTCTAGGGCTATAACTTCCTTCATATTCGAGCTTCAGCGCCGAAGTGATTTGATTTGGAAAATTCAAATTATTTTCTATCCAACCATGGGTAAAAATTCTTCGAAAGTCAATTTAGTAAAAATTTTGTACGTTGTTACTTTTTTCTGTGCAAAGGCGACTTTTTGACCTTCAAACGATCATAACTTCCTTCAAAGTCATTCATTTGGGAAGCTGAACACGTATAATACAACTACAGGATTCAAGCTTCTAAAGCGAGCACCCAAGCGTTTCCTCGAGAGCATCAGAGTTCAAAAAATTATACCCGTTGTTACCTTTAGGGGTAATTCTTCAGTTCTTCAAGCCATTTTCTCGAAAACGCGAGTTTTCTTAGGTTTCACTGCCCGTAACTTCTTGGAAGACCAATTTTATGTTTAATTAAGGATGTGCTAGAAAGCTCCGAGCATGCGCTTGCACTACATCCCTTGCCTTGGTGCGCGCCACGCCTCGGGCGCCCTTCTAATTCGCTGATTCATTCGAAAGCTCATTTAGAGGGAAGCGTTGTTTATAGATGCTCTAGTACCAGTCATCTTACGAAACGTAACGTGCTGGCTTCTTATTTAAAAAAATTCCCGAAAAAAAAACAAAAAAAATATTACCAAGAATCCCACTGTCGGCCACCGAGAGGGTACGACCCCCCCCCCTCCAAGCTCAACTGAGTACGACCCCCCCGTTGTTACTCGTAACAACGTAGGGTTGACCCTGCCCCTGAACGGATCACCTCGTGCAAGCCTCTCGCCGAGTTCCCGAGCTTACCAGACCGGTAACATAGGCAATATGGCAGTAAAAGCATTCCCACTCCAGATGTTTCCTCAATGCTTGGCAACCGATACCTATTGCTTGAGGAGTTTCTATGCAGAGATTCGGTTTTATGAGTTATTAAACTGCGGGAACCCGTCTAGGAGAAAGATGAGCAATCATTCAAGCTTCTGTTCTTGAATAATATTCCATATTAAAAGTCAAAAATTATCCTAGTTATTTAGGATTCACCGTAATAACTTCACCCAATCTCCATATCTGTATTTGAGTCATTGTTTTCTCACTTGTGTTTATTCTTTCTAAAACGCTGCCTTAAAACGCAGCAGCGTAAATAAATAAACAATAAACATTAACAATAAACAATAAAATCACAATACTGTAATTTTCGCACTTCCCTGATGACGACCATCTCTTCATTGTTTTCGTTCTGAAGCTTGTGGTTCTCCAGGGACTTCGTTATCTGTTTGCATAGGTTTTGCTTTGTTCTGTCTCTCGTCGCGAAAAAATGCTTCTACACACTCCGAATCTGGCCCTTCTAGAAAAAAAAAAAAACAAGACGTGTCAGTACTTTGACCATGGACATATTCCGTCTGGGAGAAATAATTATACCAAGTTAGTTATCGGCGTCTTCGAACTGTCAAACAGAAAAAGCTATATTCTGCTCTAGCTTAGTGGGTGCAGCTCGTGGGTGCCTTATGGGGTCATCCTTCTCGTAATAGCCAACAAGTTCAGAGTCTAGCTGCCAGTAGCGTAATGTTGACTCTTTTCTGACGACGTTGACCCCTTTTCTGACCGCCTGTCAGCAAGCCTCTAGGCGTTTAACGTTGAGGTAGCCATCGTAGTCAAAACAGTATTGGTAAAAGCTACTAATAATTCCGCTGCCGTTAAGGAACAATCTTTCACTCGATTTTTTTGCGAAAACGGGGCGTGGCCAAATTTTTTTTCCTTCAATACCGTGTTAGGAGTGCCAATGTATGTAAGCGGAAGCACGTAGTGTAGAACGATGTTGTTTTGCGTATGCTTGTAGAGCCCAGTTTTAATCCTCTTATCGTTAGTCTTTGATTGCTCTCGTGAGATAAGGCCTTCATTGAAGCAACTTTGTTGAAAAAGGCGTGTCCAAAAACCATTCCATTGAGAGCGTGGAGGGAGTGCTCACACAGCTGACGCAGAATCCTGTAATTTTGCATGTGTGTGTGTTCATTAGGGAAACCTCCGTTGAGAAATTGCATTAATTGAAACATTCTTGAAGAAGGGGTGTGTCTAAAAACTTTCTCATAAAGAACATGTTGCAAGTGTCTCTTGGCAACACGTAGAGCTCTCTTATTCGTCCCACTGATCGCTCTACTATCACAGTTGAGGGAAATCGAGCGCAAGCTGACTCCTTTTTTTTTTTCACAGAGAAAAAATCTAAATTTGTGCTCTTTGGTCTTTTTTTATTGCTCTAGCTTCATCCAACGGTCTCGGAAGGTTGGCAAGGCTGATTGTTTCAATTAATGATTTCGGCACTATTTACCCTTTCAGTGCCCTGTCCCACTCCTCAAGAACTGAGCCAGAACTGAGACTGATCGAAATTAGTCCATGACTAAGGATTTGGCTAGAAGTTGTTTCCAGGGGTATTTCGACCCGTAGAACACGAATACCACACCGGTTTAGCGCGACAACGCTTGGCGCCCGCGCCACAGGCGCCGGTACCTTTTGGCGCATAATACAAGCTCACTCAGCTTACAAAATCAATGTGTTTAACCACATTCTACGCGATCGGCAACGCTGAAAAGGCGCATTCTGGCGCGAGCGCCAGGCGTTCTAGCGGTAAACGAATGTGATATTCGTGTTCTACGGGTCGAATTACCCCTGAAGGCAAGTTTCTAGCCAAATCCACAGTCATGGACAAATTTCGATAAAAACCCGGCTCAGTTCTCGAGGAGTGGGGCAGTAAAGGGTAAATAGTGCCAATTTTTTCAATAAGGCTGAGTAAGGCTTTATTGATGCTCATGCAACCGTCGAACTCTCAGGACCAGTTTTCCGGTTGTCGTCATCGTCTTTCGTGATTAATTTCCGCTGATTAAAAATTCTCCATTGAAGATTTTCCTTTGTACAGCCGCGTTCTCGCTAATGTGCCACCAACGGTCAATTGCCATAAATGGAAACTGTTGAAGTGATTACTGACCCTGTACGAAACACAGCCACTCCTGTGATCCTAGACGACTTTAATTGGGCTGATTGGCTAAATAACGCCAGGTTCGTAAGTGCTGTCACGAGCCAATTGCTCAAAAATAGCAACTACCTATTTTCAGTTGTGTTCTGGTGGTCTACGTGGAGCCGTTATTGTGCTCGATTGGATTCCTCCTTAACTGCGCCTGTATTGCAGTGTTCCTCAGGTAGGCGGTAATTTGTGACAGTTGTCCCACATTTTTATCATTTGTTTAGTTGAAATGTTCAATTTTTCAGCGTCTCAAGTCATGGATATTTCCGAAAAACAAGCCTGTTGTTTTACCTCGTCGCTCTGTCGATCTGTAACGCTTTACAGCTCATTTTGTCCATTTTCGTCATTGTTTTACCGGCGATGGAACAGGTACGTAATTTTTCGCACACTTTTCTGAATACCATATCCTATCATGAATTTAATACAATGAAAAATCGATTATCTGACTTTCTCGCTCACTCGCTCCTACCTTTGTAATTGATGCCGTGGAGGGAATAATTCCAGGATCCTTTTCCATGGAACAGTTCCTACTATGGAAATATTACTTAAATAATAAATAAATACCGGTGAATATTACTTAAATAATAATAAATAAAAATAAATACTCAAATAATTATATTAATATTTATATAATAATTAATAAAATATTTAAATAATAAATAATATTTCCACGACAATTTATGTGCTCTTTTGCCAACTACTCAAACTAATATTCTTTATGTAGGAATCCGTACCATTCACAATTTCAAGTGTAAATAAACTACCTTTCAAAAAAAATATGGGATTGCGTCGGCGCCAAACTCCGCCCATTTAGCATTGCTTACTTCTCGGCTTTTTGTTCAGAGTCAGAGCGCGACATTAGGTCCGAATTGCTCGCGCGCGATAAGCGAATGCGGCTCCCTTTTATGGTAGGACAAGCCGCACATGTGTGAACTGCTGATGTTTTAACAGTAATTAATAGTGGGCTGGCCGCTCCAAAACGAGGGACCACCGTGACGCGCATTGCTCTCTCGCCGAGCGATGCATCTTTTTCGCAAATCGATTCCTCTTGCCAAGGACATTTTTCAGGAGGGTATGTTGTTCCGGATTTGTTTTTTACGCAATTGAAGTTCTACTTGACTTCATAAATCAAGGGCCCTGCAGGGACTACTCGATTACCTATAGTATTCTCGTTTCAGTTGGTGAGGAGTCGGTCCTGAGGAGTTAAACCCTTCCCGGACGGCCATAGTGCGTGTAATCACGCACTTTTTCGTCTTGTTCTCATCAATAGCTAATGATCTAACAGCAGTTCATTAAGAACGTTATCTGTTTTTTTTCCGGGCTCGACTAAATTTTGGAAACGTGAAAAATTGCTAAGCAATCGGTCTTTTCACGTTTCCGCGCGTGCTAAAACCATTAGTCGGTCATGCGGACCTACAATAAGTACTGACGTCCTTTTGTTGGAGAGTGACTTTCTTAATTTTCAGGAGAAGCAAAGGCGCTCATTTTAATGCCTATTTTCATGTTGGGCTCTCAGAAGCAATCAGGAGATGTTGAAATTAGCGCTTTCAACGCAATAAGCGCTCCAGTTCGCCCTAAATGCTGCCTTTTTTGTGTACTGGGCGTCATATCTTGATCAAAGTATTCTTTGCAATTTCGCTTTCTTATTCACACCCTTGGGAATCAAAGGAAACATGGGGGCTTTTCTGTAAGAATGGAAATCGATTTTCACAAAATATCTTGATGGACGTTGTAGATGAAACTGAGAATCAAAACTGGATGTAGGAAGGGATTCCACAGTCTTGTCAAATATTATTCGAGAAGCTGCATCTGGGGATGAAGTCAAATTTGTTTTTGTTCTTCTATGGGAGCCTCGGTAATAAAAGCGAACATTACTTGAACATCTTTCACAGGATTTCGATCGACTAATTATCCTACTTATTGGAAGGTAATCCAAAAAAATGGAAGAGTCTCGTTTCACGGCTCAGAATTGCGCACAACAAGCCAAATGCCGACTTGCCGTTTTGGTCTTACCAGTTGGGTTCTTCGGTGCTCCCGTGCTCGCGATGCAGTAGCCTTCACATAGGGCGTTCTGCGTCTTACGCATCCCCTATACTATTTCGTCTTTCAGTCTGTTTTTTCGCATCAGCATCCAAGATTACTTACCATTAGGTGCATATCACCTTTTGGCCTCAAAAAACTTTCCTTAGGCATAAATGATAGCAGTAATTTTCACTGTTGTTTTCTACTTTTCCTCTTTTTCCTTTTGATTATCCTTCCATTTTTATCCTTCCCCGTGATCCCCCCTTTTTGTATGTATGCTTTTACTATATAGTTGATCATGTTAGCCACATCTAATATGTAGTCTTAGGTCTTTATAACGAAATTTATAGGTCCTCTGGCCCTAAGCCTAGACTTGGTTTCCTTGCTATGAGTGTCAACCATCATACCATCCTATAGGGCATAAATCACTTCTACTGAGCTTATAACGGCATTTTCCTGAACCTCCATCAGCCGTTCACCTATTACGGCAAACACGAGATCTGGACTGGAGCCCAGCGCTTTGGACAGAACGCGTTACTTTGCCATCACTTTCGCATAGCCAATTCCGTCGTAAAATTTAGTCTAATCAACCCATGACCCTTAAACAAGTTTATTTATCTATTTATTTATTTTATTTTCGTTTATTCATTTGGAACGCTCTTAAGGCAGTCATGGGAAAGCAACACAAAACCGACTTTGTACAAATGTTATGCATATCAAATATAGTTCAAGATTCCTTCGGCGTCCATGCCCTTGAGAAACACACCTGAGTTGCTCACATCTTTACCCAGAATCCTTCTTTAACTGGGGCTTACCATACTCCCAAGCAAACTAACTGGTTGACTCACTTTGATTGTCCCCCTCCACACCCCCACTCAGCGACATGAGCGCTAATCTTTCTCAAGGAAGACTTTCCGAACGTTGAGTTAGAAAACATAAAATTCGTTCGACAGGTGAATGCGAAGCCTAAAATTATCTCCTAGCGTTAGATATGAAATATGCCTTTTACCCAAAAATTAACTCCAAACCTGAACTTCAGTTGAACTAATTTCTTAACGGTTCTTGATACAGCTTGTATATCCTGCTACCTAATAATTCGATCCGGAATTGCTATAACGATCCCAGCTAAACCTGGTATATCTGAGGGAGATCCGCACACCTTCCTCTTCCTGGCTGTAGTACCGCGCAGCCACAGGGTCGGCTGATGTCACCAGTCGCCGCCACTTTGTTCTGTACAAGTCATCTTCTCCCGTAGTCGTGATTTATCTAAGCCTTTCTTGATTACGTTTCTCCTAACACCCTATCCGGAGGGCTACATTCGTACGCCGTCAATCAAACGCTCGCATAGTGCAGCAGCTTCACGGTGGCAATAACAAATGGTTTTGTTGAAACTTCATTTTTGAGATTTCCCCAAGGGCACAAGGGGTAAAATCTCGGTGCACCAGTTGTCTTCGTTGCCTGTTGGGTGCGGATTTTGGCCACAGCCTTCTTTACCTGCGATTCGAGCTCTCTGGTCGAAAAACAAGCCTTAACTGTAAAATTGTGTTAGTTTTTTTTACAAATCAACAATTTCAGTTTATCGGCACCGAATTTCCACGAGAAGCGGCAAACTTGCATCGAGTGAATGCGATCACGGTGCGGCTTGGTTACCCACTAATGTTGGCCGCTAACTATGCCGCAATCTGGCTACTCACACTCATTTGTGCTCAGAGGTTTCAGGTTAGTACCACTTTACTATTCCTTATGTGAGCAATTTTTTTCTAAAAAATTACTTCAAAAGAAAGAATGGTGATCATATAGCAATGTGAAGTTCAACGGATTCATTGTGTGGATATTGTTCTGAAGGGAGAGGCACAGGTTGAAAGGATAAAGGGTGAAGCATTCGGCGATGTTCAACCCCTTTAGGGATGCGCCATGCATTCTACTTCCATCACAATTCGTAGTGGCATTATGAATGCGATGCACCTATGCAATGACTTGCGGGGGTCAGCTGAGCTACGAGTTGTTCATCCTTCTAGACAAGCCTGGTAGGAATTAGCAGACCCCCGGAGAGATAAAGGGCTTAGGTGGCTGTGACGGCGTGCGACCCAAGATTCGGTCCGTAGATAATACGCTGATTAGCAGCGCCTTTTACTACTACACCACTTCCACTGAATCGAAGCTTTCTACAGTACTACATACCAAGGATTCGCTTACACAGGGGAGTGCGCGGCGCGATAACAGCGGTTTTGAGTGCATGGGCTAGTACTGAAAAGGCCTGAGGACCAGCCTACTTGTCCCAGACTTTGAAGCCCACAGCTGGTGACCCGGGAGTCCCGAAAAGGAAATAAATCAATGAGAACCTCACTGTAAAGAAGGTTACGGTAGAACTCAAGGGGTCAAAAAAGTGGAACTGTTCAGTAAGAGCAGCGGAAAAGAGTTCAGTGTTTGCAGCAGAAAAAATATGAAAAGTTCGCTTTCATCGAGGGTAAGTTTTCCTTGAGCTGGTTCATTTTTCCAATTGCCCCGAAGATCATGGCATTTCAATCTCATTTCAAGAAATCCTATCTACCTTCCTTTTTTCCTACGTAAACTCTTGATTCGTTTATTTTCTTTCCCCATCTCTTCAATTCAAGTGAGCAAGCACTGTGAGAGTCTATATACCCTAACAAGGGAGTGCAAGCCATGCTTTCAAAACGGTTTCTTGCATATTGCAGGGATGCATGTAGGGAACACAAAACCATGTTTCATTTTCGCTGAACGGTTTTAGCAGTACCAAAAAAGAAGCATAAGGTACTGTTAATGGTTCGATCCCCCGTGGCGACTAAATTTTGCATTTGGGTTGGCGCCTTCGAATTGGTGCCAAATCGTGCCAAATGTCACAATCAGGTGTCACACTCATCGTCAGGACCATTATGAAGCCACCAAGTGGCCGCCAACCTTAATTGCAAAATTTAGTCGCCGCGGGGGACCGAACCATCGAGGGTGTCATTCACCACTTTTTAATACTGCTGAAAACCGTTCAGCGAAAACGAAACACGATTTTGTGGTCCATACAGGCGTATCTACAATATGCAAGAAATCATTTCCAAAAAGCGCGGCTTGATCTGAAAGACCTCCCTTGTAAGCCTATCACCACTCAATATCCCATCCGCACGTATTTTTTGTGGAAACAACGCAAATATCCCGCATTTTCACACGGAAATCGAGTATGTGGCGTATCCCAGTGTGTTCGGTCAACTTTTATTGGCCTGTATTCCATGTATGGTCACAAAGAAGTGCGCGCATCGGCATTTTTGTTTGAGTGTTCTGGAAGCTTCAATATCCATGAAACCATCCTTGCGTCCGACGACTCGCGGTCTGGACAGTTCGACAAATCGGATGCTTCAGGGGCTCCTAACGTTGCTCATTCTACAAATAATGTTCCAGGCAATTTGTCATCCATCGAACCCTTGGAAACTTCGGCTCACATGTATACGAAGGAGCAAAGGAGCAGTGACTGTTGTTGTGGGTGCAGCTTTGGGTGAGTTTCCCAGTCTCAGTTGGAACTGATCAATATTTTCATTGGTACGCCAATTAGAGTGCAGTTTTGTTGTATCGCAGGCTTGAATGTGATCCGGTTCTGGGAGATGGAGTGGCATGCTGACCACGGTGGTATCGTTAGCTCAGGGTTACGGTAAGTCTCATTCCCAAGGTTACTAATTCGTGAACTATTTATAATTATATTTATTAAATATTCACCATATGTTGACATTTTAATTGTCGTTATATAACATTTAGTACTAATTTATTGTTAACATTTTGATTGAATAACTAGATTAAACTAAAATTCAAGTGCAAAGAGATGAACCTTTCGTAACATTCACTACTAGGAAAGGTTTCCAGCAGGGTGATTTCAGGAGACAAGTGAACCTTCCAGTCTCGAAAGCCCTCTTCAAACTCCATGTACCCGGTTCGGAACTGAAAATTAAATTTAGTAGGTGTTAACTAGCACTCCGTCGGAGTTGTGCGAAACGAGGTGGCGAGTTGCATTCCGGCAAGCAATGGGGGCGAAAGTCGTAGCCGTGCCACTCTTCGCATGAGTTCAACGCTTCCATAAAAAAGAGACCATCCCACGGCCGTGAATGGTGGCTCCAAATCCACGTGAAAGATAAAAACACCTCGACTGAATCTTCAGTCGTTGTTCGAGTTATTCACCTCATTCTTCCCCTAACGTTAATCCCGCGCAGTCGCAGGGTCCGCTAGTTTTATCAGCGCGTTCCCCTTTGGTCTGCAACATCAATCCTCTGGCTGTGTCCATGACTCACGTAGATCCTCTTCGATGCTCGCTCCTCCTCTTGTTCGAGTTGAACACCTGCGCACAAAAATTCGAGCTCGTTTGTGGCTCACCTTGAGGGTTGATCCGGCTTCTTTACTCCTTCTTTCTTTCACCCCTTCAAGCCTTTCGGTGCAAAAACATGAGAAGGGGGATGCGCCTCGCATCCCACTTCAACTAAAGACCGTAATGGCGTGTGAAAGCAACTCGCCCAACAAAAGGTTCGCGGGGCCCAACTCTGCCTCAGCGGATATTTTTCACCTAAACGGGTCCAAATCCTATCATCTTTATATTGCAAATGTTGTCTGGATTCAATGAAAGATTCTATACAGGGTGTTCCATAAATACTGCAACACGTTTCTTATCTTGTAACTTCTCTCAAAGTGGACGTATCTTCAAGTGGTCACACACTATTCTTAGTCCGTCCTTAAGATGTTGAAAGGAATGACATTTATTCGATAAGTCTCCCTGTCGCTGTGAGTATGGCTTCCAGTTGCTTCGAACACAACTCTAGTGTTTCCCGCATGGCATCCTGGAGTGCCTTCTTCGAAACTTTCTAGAGAAAAGGCTTCAGCTCCTCTATTTGGATGCATTGTTTAGTGCAGGCTCTGTCCCCTAATATAGCCCAAATAGGATGGTCCAGCAGGTTGAAATCGAGAGATATGAGAGCCATTCTTTGAGGATGTGAAATCGGGAACAGTATCATGAGATCAGTCCTAAACAATTTTTGCCCCTTATGCAGAAGCTGGTTACTTTTGAAAAGAACGTCATTCCTCTTTGGAGAAGCTAGATACCTTAGTAACAAATGGTGCACTGGAGCATTCGTTAGCTAGGTCTGTATCGAGTTTTATTCGCTTTTCAACAGACAGTTGTGGTGAGCGACCGGTGATTGAGACCCTTGCCCAAATCGTGATAAAGATTGGCTGCTGCTTGTGGCGAATATTCCTTTCACTCTCATTGGCTTCCACGGGACCTCATGCGGGCATCCTCGGAGTTTGAAGATTGTAGCTCCGCTCCATGTGAGGAATTTTGTCGTCGATGAAAACGGTGCCCGCGTAATCGCCATTTTCGGCCCTCGACACCAGCTCTTTGAACTTTTTGTCTCTGCTGTGCTCCTCCCGTTGGATTGAGCAGTGGTGCTTATGCAACTTATAATGGACTGTGAGCAGTTGTTATCTGACCACTCTCTACATGACTGTGTTTAGAAACTCCAGGTCAATGTCACCTCTCTCGAGCCAT